CCGGTAATGTTACATGTAGAAATTTAACTTTCGTGAATTAACCTAATCATTTTAGTTATTCTGGTCCCGATAAACATGTTCAGACTTGCTCTCGTTTATTTATTTGTTTGATTATATTAAGAGCCCAGACCGAGAGAAAGTTTTGGCAATGATGGTGCAATACTCTATTATATCAGCTGATTTGTATTCATGCCCTTGTTATTCTTATTGTATCATACTGGGTGTCCTATTTATTAGTGTCGGAGACAGTGCAATGAGGCTTGGTCACATGAATTTCTTTGTTAGAAGCTGCGTTTACTTTGCGGCATTGAGTTGCAAATTGTAGGGTTTTAATTCTGTTAATTTAGGCTTGCTTGAGATATTTAGGGAAGTTTTGTAGTTTAGGATTATTTAATAATTGGAATTTAGGTTCTGATTGAGTTGTATATTTGAGGCTAATTATACTATTTTATTGTTTTTGTGTCTTGTAGCTAAATTTAAGTACTGTTGTTGGGCTAGAGACACAAATATATTGTAACCATACAATACACACCATACAATACATCACTATATGCACACCATACTCACGTATACACTACCGTGCATAGAGAGAATATTCACTGTGTTACACTGCCATTTATCTACTGTGGAACTTTTACCTGATTGTGGAATTTTACTGAACTGTGACTTGTATATACTGTACATATACCTACAATACAAGTTCTTTCATACAAGATAGCCCAATAAGCAGAAATAGGACCTGTAAAACCTCTTAACTCTACACGGACCTTTAGCAAAAATAGTTGAATAGCCCTGATCTACAGTACGACTTTGTTGCGATGTGATTCAGGCGTTACTGAAATTTTGCGATAAGCAGGGAACCAGGTCTTTATTATTTTATCATCAGATTTTGTTTTATACGTTGGAGTTAGAAGACTGCATTGAATGGGTAACGTGCACTGCATCTGACGTCTAACTCTTTATTTGCCATTTCCAAAGTTATGCGTCAGATTTAGGTAAAGTTTGTCATGTTAGAGTCTAACGAGTGGCATATAGGCTATTATTAAATATGGCGTTTTAGTTGTTCTTATCGTGTTACGTTATTGTATTATTGCAGCGATATAGGCTCGGCGTGGTTTTCTGAAACTATGAAACCTGTTAGTTTTTATAAAAGTCACGTTGCGACGGTGCTGACGAGGCAAATAAGTTAATGCCTATAAGTATACAAGTAGAGCAGTGCTCTTCACCGGGTATACGGTATACCCAAGTGTATACCGGGCCATAATTCGGGCTATACAACTGATAAAGGGTGTACAGCCCTAGTCAGGGATTCTAAATTATGATATAATAAATTATAAACATCAAGCGGAGACAACAATGCAAACGCGGCGCAAATGAAATATAAAATGGCAGTTACGCAAAGAACCTACTTGAGTACATTATTACATCACAAATTATATAGATAATGCGGTCACGTGTCTGGGTTGGTGATTTTGGCTGCCGTGTACTTCTTTTGATTTACGTTGAACAATATTCTCGTTAACGATAAGGCCGTCAGTCAAATTTATAACTTGCGGACACTAGCCTATTAGATTGTATGATGATGTTGCAGTACAATATGTGCTTGAAATTCAATGTTTTTTAAACCTTAAATAAACATTGGTATTTGTGAGATATACAAAGCCCTTGAAAAATTGTAAAAGGTATACCACGATAAAAAAAAAGGATGAAGAACTCTGAACTAGAGTAAAAAGTTCAAAGCTTAAGCCTCTATAACCGGGCTTTCTAAACTTTGAAGCTCGCGACGCTTTCCAATATATTAAATTTTCCGCGACCCCTGTCAAGTCGGCATTGTTATGCAGTCGCGCCGCTTAGTCATGTGTATTTTCTTGAAAACGTGAGATTTATGTTTTGCGCTAATTTTAATAATTGCATTTCGAATCAAAAGTCTAAAAAACTACAATAGCTATGGTACTTTGTGTGAAATTCGCGTGCTCTTTGAGACCCCTAAATTCCGTTGCGCGTTCATCTGCGGGAGCGGGCCCCCGAGTTTGGGAAACCCTGCTTTATACAACGGCACTATAGTTTTTTTATATTATAAACAATTTGAAATACGGTCATTTGCTGGCAAAGATGTCGTGAACTGTAAGCAAATAGGAACAAGTTGGTCTTTATTTCAAACATTCATGTTAACAAATGAAAGAAAATGCAATTCAATGTGGAAGTGTCTGCCAGAAGGCGATTACTTTTCTCTCCTTCAAGTTTTTTTTTGTTTTATTTCCTTATTCTGTCGACATGAAAAAACGCTTCCTTGTTCCTTACAGCGAACAATATTATGGTATCACTTTTGTGTTTATTTATTTTATCATTGCTCTCTCCTTTAGTTATAATTGGACACCAAGAAAATTGATACTCACGTATGGTGTGTACCAGGTTTGGGTTAGCGCATAATTTTATTACGAGGCAAAGGCTCTATATAGTCATGAATTCAAACAAAATTTGTTTGGGATCGTATAGCCTCACTATGAACAACGGTTAGTACAATATTATAGCTTTGAAATAATTTACACTGCTCACTTTCTCTGAACAAAAAATGGCAATCCTTATTTGGTAAACCCGAACTTTGTTAAGATAATGCCTTCCAACACACAATGGAAAGTCGGCCAGGCCGGGAGTTGCATTGAAAAAACCCACATTCATCCAATATTACAACGGGACGATTTTTATTCTTTTACCAAAAAAATAAAAAAATTATAAGATGGTTAAAAAAACTAAAACACTTGCACTTGTTGATCGCGTATATGTAATTCATTCACCCGCTAGAGGGGATAGATTTGCAATTGCCAGGTCAAGTTTATTTTAGCCACAGTTCGTCACTGGTGAGGCAGCATCTCTGTCGTAAAGAAAGACTCTTTTCAGCTTTATAAATCGCAGTTGCTGATAACGATATTTATATCACTAACATTTTTAGTCTGGCGTTCTTGGGCAAACTTGTATAAAGCATCAACACAAATTATTTTATAAACAAAAAGTCTATAGCTAAGAATATTGTCAACTTCATTGTCAAAGAAAATCTATATCCATATTATCAATGAAACTGTTTATAATATTTAAGGTAATAAGTGCTAGCAGTCTAGCACTATATTAGGATACACAAGATTGTTCAAGATTCATTGAAGACAAATATCCGGTTACATTGATTGAGCCTTTCGAGTATTTCGACTCTATGTGCGGTGGCGACAAAGAGAATAAACCAAGCGTTCACGTTCAGTATATATCAGACGGACGAGCATATACCGGTTATGAAGTGTTAGAATTAGCAAGGAGTTTCACAATCCAGTACAAGTTTTTACAATGTCCAGAAGATACAGGTGAGACCTATTTAGAATTTAAAGAAAATAAAAATGTGCGAAGGTCTGGAGTTATAATATCGGTATTATTGTCGGTAGTCACAACACCCCAACGCGATGCTACAACTTGCACAAGTAACGACATTTTGTCGTTATTAAATTGTTCTCGAATAAATATCAAATTTTCGTTGCAAATAATGCTATACCAGCGCAGTATTGTGTTTTTGGTCGGGGCATATATAAAGTTTTATATAATGTAAACTGAATGTGAGACAAGATAGCAATGCTCAAGTATATGGACATGAAAGTCAAAACGAATTTTTTTACCTCTTCGCTCATATCCTAAGCAAAGCTGAGAACTGTTGAACAGGTACCCACGATACCGGTATCTGGATTGTCTTAGCTTCCACAGGTCCTGTGACGATGATGATTCATACGTCCAGCCTGAATAAATACCAAATGAATTTAGTCACAACTTTAGCATCAAATCTTTTACAGTGTCAGTATGATACCTCACATTCGAATTTGGAAAATGCCAGATCGATGAGTGCGATTGCCGCAGTGGGCAATTTTGGTGACGGCATCGCAAAAATATTCAAACTACGTTGCTCATAGAGTCCTCATATATTATTGATTTTTTTGGTAAATAAAAGTAATAGCCCTCTAGCGACAACAACAAATTTTATCCATTAAAATTTTTAAAGAAATTAGTCTAGTAGCTAAAGAGAAAAGGGATTTTTTTACAATAATAACAACAAGAAAAAAATACGGACAATAACATAATAACAAAACGATCCATATGTCCACTTCGTGTCCACTAAAAAAAGCTTTCTTAATGATGCAAACGGCTTATTTGTACTCACTCGACTAAAATGGCGTGAAGTGCATTTTATTGAGGAAACGCTAAATTTGAATCAGAAATTTAAGCTTAGGTTTTCCCTAGAATCCATTCATAATTACGAGTGATGTGTAGAAACAAGAAAGCAAAGACAAATCTTCTACATTCCCTGCTTGTAAATACACAACCCACATTGGCTTATATTTTTGTTGCAGCAGACAGTACGTATCCGGATACATCTAATGCTCCTTCAACTACTGCAAAGTCGGATCAGGTCACTCATACTATCGCTGGGGCAACTGGAATCAAAATGAGTACTGAAATAGTCACAGCTTCGGACCACTCAATAATCATCCCATCGAATACTACTATGAGTAACTGTTTAATTTTATCATTGTTAATTTGACCTGTGGTTTGACGATAAGTTCGTTTTCCACGACTATTCATGGCCCCGGTAAATACCATATTTATTATTCGTCAATGTAATTTGGTTGACGTTTATCAATATTTTTCACAATTACACTTTTTTTCTAGTTCGAATATTTTTTGTGTGTTGTTTAAGTGCGCATTGGGTGTTTTTATTCCCTACGTAACTTTTTATCCCCGCGAGATGGCGGCATGTCTTCCGAGTGAAAGCCGTGAGAATTTAAAAGCATTCGGAATTCCTTTATCCTACTAGTGACACATTCAATATTAAAGACAATTCAATGTTTATGGAAGGCACAAGAAAACCAAATGTCAAATATCATGTATTTTCAACGATACAGTCAACACAAACACTGACAGAAGTACAAGTGAAATGAGTCAAACAACTCTAATTCTCCTCCTCTTCATACCATAATTCATTTTCGTTTTACTCATGGTCGTGGCTGGGATTGTATTCTACAAGAAAAAACGGTGAGTATTTTTCATGCTTAGAAATATAACCATTTACCTCATTGAAATAATTACGTTTACTGTTCCTTCATGACCTGACGATGCGTGTTTGCAATCGGGTTCGGATTGTCGATGTTTTGATTTGGTTTGATTGCCACTATCTATTTGTGCTACTGGAATCCATGTGATAAACGGAATTTTAGAAAATTTATGCTACGTAATATGAGACAACATGAATCATGCTACGTAATGTGGGAAAAATGTAATTTGTGTCCCAGTTCTGTCACTCCTATAATTTTAAGAACGAAAAGATCTTTATTTACTATTACATTCATAAATTTACCTAAGTTCAGTTGGAATGTACATGGTTTGGGTTGCTATTACAAATAACTACTTTCTCTCGACGCGTCACTGTAATTTCTAGCGCTTAATAATCTTCGACTTAAACATTGATGACATTTGCATCTTACGGAAATATTCTGAATATTACCTTTATAAATTGAGCCGATGAAAGATGATATACTTGATATTTTCAAAGATCTCAACGCTCAGACCATGCCAAGACAGCACAGGGGACTGTTCCCAATTCTACTGAGATGGAAAACATCAGTTCTTCGGGACGAAACGGAATTCCAGGTAATTTGTTGGTAATTGGCATTGAGATATGCTAGAAAGCTGTACTTTTCGTAGCAAACCGTTTCAAAATCTTGGGATGTTTTTGTTATTTTCGTTCCTCAACGCTCGGTAAACCGTGCCCATCCCTGACTTAGAGTCTTAGATACTGTAAAAACTTAGTATCACATTCAAATATTAAAATAATTTGATCAAATAAAATTTTCATTGAAACGAAAAGCTATCCAAATCTGCTTTATTTTTATCCATTTTCAAGATTTGTCCTATCATTTGTTTATCATAAAATTGTATTGTTCTTTCCAGTCTTTCTAATATTTCATGGGTATAAGAGTTGCTGTTATCATCTCGGTGGTCGTTTGTAATTCTCCGCGTAAGATTTTTTTAATGAATAATGGAAACAACGCTTTGCCTAGCCTGTATTAAATGGACTTTGTTAGACTTGAACTTGAGAAATGCAAAAACACCTTTCTCATGTTTTATCTATTTCACTTATAATTATCCATTATACAATTTTTTGCCAGTTTTAAAATATGTACTTAATATTGTACCGACTAGTAGCGTACTGAACACTTTGTTTAATTTCACTCATTATTATTTTTGATATGATTTTCCGTAAGTTCTTCAAATATGTCTCGACGATTGTTCGATCTGATAGCGTACTATATTGTGCGAATTCATCCCATATTTAAAAAATGTGTTTTTTCAATTGAATTTTTCATTCTAATTCCCATAAAACTAGAATTCCAGAATATTCCAAAAGCAGTGAGATTTGACTTAATTCGACTCATTTTAAATATAATTCTTTATATTCCAAATCTAGTTCATCATTTTTACCACTTTTATATGACATGTCTTTCTAATACGACACACTTTTCCTGGTCATGTCGATAATCAAATATTCCTTCCCTTCAAGGCCGCAACCAAAATTAGGCTTCATTTTAGAACAACGAAATTTAAAAAAATAATAAAGGGAAGCCAATGATTTTAGAATGAATAGCTTGTCTGTCTCAAACTAACTCAATCTCAACCAAGTCAGTCAAAAACACGTAAAAGCAATTTTCCAATTCCAGTCACCAACGATGCGTTCTTTCTTAACACGACCATGGCTTTGAACTCTGGGCTCTATGTTGGCCCTTCCCATATATGGGTTCACATAAACCATACCCGGCTGTTGGTATTCAAGAGCCGGTTCAACTGTACCCACTGTCAATAACAAGAGTTTCGAAATTCTAGAATTCCAAATTTTTTTTAGATTAGATATTTTGGTGTCGCTGCTCGAAAACCAGTTTTGGTTCCCCGCGACTTCCCTTCCCCATTGACACTGTGTAATTATCATTTTCTCGTAATTTGTGATTGTGTGATACTAATTGTTACAGGTTGAAAAAAATAAACTTGACTTGACTTCTCTGTTCGGAGTAGTGTGACTAATATGTGAAGCCAGACCGAAGATCCATAGGTTTAATCTGTGACATTTATTGAGTAACTAAACATCAATTTTTGGTGAATGTTTTCAGGTGAATGTTTAAACAGGTGAATGTTTTCTTGCAACTCTTAGCTGCGAAACTTTGCATGTGTAATATAACAACGAGAATACTGGTCAGAGACCGAAGACTTATCGATCGAAAGTTAGGGGATCCCCAAAACAGCGCTCTTACTCCATAGTGACACCTTGTGTCTATCGCTAATTAATTAATAACTCGCTAATTATATGACATGACTTGCCCAAAATCAAAAGGCTTCTGGTCCAAGATATGATGAATGCACATGCAAAATTTGGAGCAGATTCAATCTCGCTTTCGTGAGATACCGCGTACATCTAACAGACATACAAATACCTATCAAGTATCAACATACTAACCGATTAAAATCGATAAGTAATAAATACTCATCGTTTAACTTGAAGAATGAATTTGTTGGCGACGTCTGAGCTCGGGAAACAGACCAGGTGATTGAATACGCATTATTATGACGCCACTTCGTACATTTTCAATATAAGGTCGTTACATGATCTTCGCTCCGAACAAGTCCGTGTATAAGCCGTAATTTGATATGTAAGATACTATATTTTGAAGGACCTGGAGCTTCGCAGTCGGAATTGTTTACTTTTTCTTTGCACCCACTATTCTGAACAAGGTCATAGCCATGGAGTGGCAATGTGTTTACAAAACCGTTGGTGGTTCAAGGCGTCCTTCACGCTTCGACCGAACTTTCCACGTAGTCGGCTTGGTAACCGAACAAGAGACCGTTTGTAGTAATATAAATACGTTGCAAAGACAGTATTAAGTTTCGTTAATAAGAACTTGTTGCATAATATGACATGAAGCACACGTACACGGGTGGCGATATTATACTAAATCTTTACATAAGGCCAATAGTTGAACTAGTGTAGATACAAATACAACTAATCTGTCCTTAGTTGAGTGTTTGTTATCTTGTTATCTCTCTTATTTGCACACAAGGATCTTCTTGCAAATCTACCAATGACGGCAGAAGGACAGATCTTTTGCTTCCTTGTTCAATATAAAAACAGTGTGGGAAGCAAATGATATTTTAACAGAACATAGATGACCTTTAATGGCTGGAAGTGTGTCATCAGTTACAAGTGGGAAGAAAGTAATGTTTTAAGCAACAACGAAACTGCCATAAAGACTAATATTAATTACAAGGAGCGAGTGTCGATGGTTGAAGATATTGAGTTCTCAAAGTAGTAGGAAAATCAGTTGTGAACATTACAAAATAGTCAGTATAGGATAAAACCCGGAACAATGTTAAGCTTGAGTAAAAATCTGATGCAAGATTAGCTATATCCGTTTCGAGTATTAGGGAAATTCCTTCGGAACAAGCTACAGCTAGCTTCGTTGAAGTAGTGACGAGTAAACATTCAAAACAGAACAATTATGGTTTAATAATGTATGATTGCTATACCTATGTGCATAAATACTACTTGGAATTCCGAGTTATCTACAAATATTTCAATGCGACGCATTATAGATCAAAATCCAATCAGTTGTCAAAAGAGTTTAGCCAGCACAAATATATAAATTAAATTTAGGAAACAGTTCTGGGCACAAAGCGGCCTGAAATATGTTTGGTACTAGCACTTACTGTATATAGGCATATTACATTGAATTGTAAAAGAAAAGTGACGACATAACACATACCACTATGTCTCAAGAGGGTACGGTGTACAAAGGATGCATATTTATATTTTGGAGTGACATCGTATAGATATTGTTTTGTAAATTTTATAATCTTGAAGACGTGTCGCAGTAATTGCTTCTTTCCTCCTTAATATAATTATTTCAATTTTTTCACTCGAATCTATTTATTATTAGACGGCTAGTCATCATAAACCATCAACCGAAAACGCGCCTTGCAAGAATTGTTTATTAAAACAGGACTCAGCTAATCAATAGCCCAATCTGTTTATTACGGACTGAAATAAGTACCTCAACACGCCATAATTTTTCTATTTTAGAACTTTCTATTCTATGATAAATACGAGAATTGATAATGGCTCCAAATAAAAAATATTGGTTACTCAATTTGCTCTTTGTTGGCGTTGGTGAGTCTAATTTTTATTTATTCTGTATCTATATGGTGACTATTGGTGAGAACTGTAGCACGAGCATTTAGTAATGTATCGAACAACGTCGAAGATGTTGAATAAATTTTCGTTGATTGAAGATACTATGTATCAGTGGTTTCATAGTAAAAGTCAAGTGAAACGCCTTAGGAAAAAAAAAACATGGCGCGAAGCAGCGATTAAATCGATGCCCTGCATCTTTCGAGAGCGCCCAATCGTGGTGCCATAGCGAACATATTTCTGTTACCATTCAGTTAAAAGCATACCGATCAAAGAAGTCTTAGTAGGTTTGTAATCGCATTTGATACGGACGTTCGAAAACGTCCCATCTGTTACTCTCCGGTTGCGCATTTTTATTCTCATTTTTGAAAATATTTGAAAACGAAACAAAATATAATCATTTTTCAGACTTTTTTCACTACGCTAGCGGCCAGTGTATTGGAACTGGGGAAATTATCAGAACAGGTAGAGGCGCGATCCAATCTCCAAATTATTTAGATGAGCAAGGAAAGGAAGCTGAATGTTCATGGAAGTTTGTGTTACCTGAAAAGAATTACATGTTGAATTTGACTATTGTCTATCAGAGACTCTACTTCGTTAAAGATTCAAATCCACATTGCATTGGATCTTACATTTTAACAATAAACAACGGTATGTTTATGTACGTTTTTTTCGAGTATTGGATCATTTTGTTGTAGGAGAGTGTATGCATTTTCTGCAGGGTTTCACCATTCCCATGATCTATTTACAAGAGAGAGAAATCGCTTGGAAATATTTTTTATTGTTATCAATTTATTGATTTAAAATATTATGATCACACTCTCAATTAAACGAATAGCACATAACTGAAACAATGAAACATTTCATAAATTCAATGCCAACAACCCCATGGGAGCTGTATTGTAATTGAGCGAATTGATTCATTCTTAGTGACAAGACGATGCGATAAATATATTAACTGGCCGACTTACACTGTAGCGGAATCCATTTTATTCTACAACTCGGATATCTGTGATGATGCTACTAATCCACCACAAGAAGGCGTGGCGGTTTGCTATGTATCTGACGGTGGAACAACAGCCGGGTATATAGGGTCATCGATAGGTTTTCGAATTGAATACAGATTCACCGAGTGTGCTGAAGGTATGTGTATACAAAAGAATGTGGTATTTTTATACAGCGACTCCATATTTCAAATGCAAAATTCGTATGAACAGACTCTTTGAACTCTTAGTTCAAAGAACGACGCTACTTTCTCCCCCTGAACTCCCACGGTGTCGCATGAATTTGACGTTCTAAAAATTCGTAATATTCATTATTTGAAACCAATGTAACATCTAAATTCTAAACCATTATATATATACCGGGTTGTCTGTGATATCTCACGTGAAAGCTCATTTAGGCTTCTACTCATAACTGGCATCATTTATACGAGGAATTTTAATAATACCTGTAAGCTTATTTAGACTCCATCTACTAATTTTTTTTTGCATTCGAGTAAGTTTTAAGAGTTTATTTATGGATTTTTCATCTAAATTTGCTGTATGTTGTATGATTTTGAAATGGATACAAAATTACATTCCAGGTGATTTCCTAGCCTACGTGAACATCATTCTATTGCATAATATGTATTCTCGATTTCAACGGTTTATGAACAAAATTGGGGAACAATTTGGATACCAAGTTTCCGTAACGATGTAACGTCCAGTTAGGCATTGACGTTATTACGTTAACGCGACGTCGTTTCGCGTATCGTTTCCCCTAAGTTAGATTGCGCAGTCGATTATTTAGTCGTTCACAACTAAGTTCCGATTGTGCCAGTATCATAGCGTTGGCCGCGGTTAATACAAACCCAGAGGTAAAAGATGGTGGTTATACTAATTAACATTGCTTAATAACAAACATCTTGACAAATCTTTATTTCTTTAGAAACAACGACTAAATACGACCAACAAGCGAGTACCGATCCAAAACACAACCCTCCTGTTCCTACCACAAAAGTAGGCCCCCCCTCGACCGTTGCTACAATAACTACAACTGAGGATACACAGGCAGGCGCGACGACAGAGTGTGACATTGAAGGTACAATTTGGCCTACTTATCACTTTATGCAAATAGTCAATATATATCGAATAATACAAAATGGCAGAGAAAATTTTTTGGGATTCCGATCAATTGACGTAGAAATAGATACTTCGCTTTAACTTTATTGTCAAAATAAATTTAACTTTGGGCACACTGTATTGCAAAATAAATTTCACAGTGAATGCTGAAACTGAAATTATGAAAAATTGTCAAAAATTACACTTTTTATCAGGGCCGACTACAAGGGCAAATCCTGTTGAAACCGGGAGCACTCGGGAATATTTCACAAGTGATTCAAGTCCAAGTAAGTCTATATTGACGTTTCACATTACTGATTAAAATAACGAATACGTCCTTTGAACTATGCTAAAATAAGCAACCGAAATTTTCATACAAAATAGTGCATCGACTTTAAGAAACCAGATGATACCAGGCAAGTTTTACAAATAAGTCTGTTAAAAGAACATTCATGCAGCAGCAAATTAACCATTCATAACTATTGCTTATTATAACAGTTACAGACAACGACGCTATAATATCCATAGATACTGATGGCACCAATTCAGATGGAATAAGCGACACTGCCAAGCTTTTCCTCGTTTCTATCCCAGGATTCGTTGGCATTATAACACTTGTGGCGACTGCAATTGCATTCTGCAGGAAGAAAGGGTAACTCTTACTAAGTACTTGCTTGAAATTCAATATTTGTACACAGACACCCACAGGTCAATAATTAGCATGACCGGTAATTAATTAAACATATTAATGCTTGGGACAAAGGCCCAGTCTTTATAGCGTCGCAGATCTCGGAATTTGACCTTTTCCCTTTTAAGTATAAGTACTGCTCATCTAGAGCCTTGTCCCCAAAACAAACTTCACCACCGAAATCAATCCTTACCTATAAGATAAAATTTTATGAAAGCGTTGCATAAGCCAGTACTGGAATTCAATATAATTACAATCCGATACCAAAATAATATGAAAACCGTGAATATCAAAACAATAATACGACACCATTTACTAACAGAGACAAATCTCAAGATGGGAACAAAGTTGAACAAGAGAATGGGGGCAGCAATCAGATGGAAAACGTTGAATCTCCAATTCAAGAACTGGGACAAGAGGCTGCTGAAGGTGATGGTTCATTAACAAATCCCAATCGTGATACGTGAAATGCTGAGCATTGAGCATGTATCGGATGACTAATATCATATATCTGAAAAGTTTTCCATTATAATCTCTATCGATTCAAATCTACGAACATTTTTCAATGGAGTGATTCCAAACTCCAATTTTAGAATTGATATCTCCAAACGCTACGAAGGGGATGGCGGAAACCAGGGGTGTGCAGTGCAACCAGCACCCGCGGGCCAAATGCGCTTCCCAAGGAAAAATTGTGCGGGCTGCAGAGAAGTGCCACTTTTTAATAATGCGCGGCCCGCGAAACGAGTTTTTAATTTAATTTTGGTACGTGGGAGTAATTCTAATCTTCTTGCGTTGTGAAAGCTATACCTGAGTCCAATATATTATCTATGACTTGACAGTGCCCTAACAGCTAGCTTGTCCAAACAACGCATGTCACAAGATCAACAACCAAAATTTTTGTGCCTTCAACTTCTAGATAGCCTATGTTAAATAGAGGTGCGGCCCGCGGTTTCACTCAGTTATTTGTACCTGGCTCTGCTGCATTGAAGGTTGCACACCCCTGGCGTAAGCAACTCGAATAGTTAAAAGTGCCATATACTTTCCTATTACATACACACAAACATTTTGAATTTTATCAGAAACAATGCACATTTACAAATTAAAAATAATTACAACTCGCAATGTCTTCAAATTTGCTTTTAACCGAGACTGTAAAAATTAAATATCAATATTTATTTCAGCGGCGGAACTTGATGAGGCGACAACTTCAACAATTCAAGAGGAAGAATCTCCGTATACAATCATGTATTCTGCTATTGCCCGGAAAGACGAAGAGGAAGATAAAAAAAAATCCTCATGCGGTAGACTAAATATTCTGATTTTAAAACTTTATACCAGCGACAAAGATTACAACTGATTAATTTGAGTAGTGTAAATTGGACGACCTTACATATTATGAAATATTTCAAATATTGTACAACCATTTCGCTAAATTTCAGAAAAATGGCAAATTTGCAAAAAAGTAATTTTATAGTAAAAGGAAAGTAAAATTTAAATTTTAGATGAAGAAAAACCTTCGGCGATTGAAGACGAGCAGAAACACGAAATGTATTCTGCGGTTATACGGAAGACTGAAGGAGGTGACAAAGAGACGATTCATGTGTGATCACCCGATAGTTGTCCTGCTGCTACCTACGATGACGGACTGCTTATGTTTTAGATATCTGCCTTGCTAGTCAGATTTCGATTTTCAAAATATAGCCCAAACTCATAGTGAAAGCGAGAAGGGGTACAGGGAATTAATTAACAGACACGCCGTTTTCTTGTTGTTTGTCTTCGACAGACGTGGTCATTTTGTAATTGGGGTTGTTTTCTTTGTAATTAATTACTGGGCCAATCGCATTCAAATCTTATGTCCTACAAGCTAAAAAGGTAATAATAACATATCTTTTATTGACTCTCTGAAACACTTTGCTTCACCCCACATTTTTCTCGATTTTCCATCTAACACTATCTGCCAGATTTCATCCATCGAAATAAGCCAGTTCACGGTGCTCGGCACCAGTACCCCCTCCGGTTTTGTTCATTTATTTCAATGTTTTATATTAGTATTAGACTCTTAATATCAACAATTTTTCAAGAATTTAATCGACTTCCTACGTTTTGTATAAGTGTCTCTCAACTATTTCTGGGTTCCTTTTAATTGAATTGACTGAGCAAGGCAGATAAAGATTCATGAATATTTTTATTATTTTCTATCATTCAACAGCGTATTATCGAAACTATAATCTTATTATTTTAACTTTCTCTGCTTGGGCTGAAACTTTTCTCACATTGTAATAATATTTGTCTTGCTGCATTCAAACAAGACTTTGTATTTTTAAGCTTAGAAATTTCCCACACAGTTGTAAGGTGAGCAGGAAAATGTTAGATGTAAATTAAAATTTTGCCGTTTGCATAACAAAATAAGTAGTTACTTTGGGCGGTGTGAAAAAACAAACTAAGTCGTTAATGGTGGCGAAATATAGTGACATGATGCTTCTCAGATGCTCAAAAGATTTTTTTTTTAAATTTTAGCAAAAACCATAATCGAGATTTCAAATGCGAGTCGGCGACCAAATTTGGTCTCCAAAATACCTGTCTTGTTGTGCTTATAGGGAAAATGTTTTTAACAATTACTGTGATTAGATTCAATTCCAAAACACAATACAAACTTCATAACACTCACAACTTTTTGAAGAAAAATGCAACCATTACCGTTCTGTTGTATTGACCAGTATTTTTCACCGCAAGCAATTCATTATAAGGATGGTTCATAACCCTCACGATTGTACTTCCGTTGCCCATTCCAAGATGTTTCAATATTCAATAACGATACGCGCTGTGATCTCTCGAAACCTGTAGGTGAAATTGTGGTGTCGGAGTCGAATTTTTGGCTACCCTACTTCGAGATTCAAAGTCAAAATTTTCTTTACCCGGAATCGATTGTAAATTTTCTTCGACTTCACGTACCCGATCTGAGGACAAGGTAGTTAGTTCACTATTTCGCCAAACAATTATGCAAATCGTATCCAATGATATATAAAGCAATTTTGTTGCGGATCGAGTGATGACGATACAAAGCGTAGACAGTAATATGCTTTCCATCAATCACCTTAATTACTAATCACCCTAACATCAAACTTTATCTTTTTGAACACGGAAACATTAGTGCTGTATTACTTGAACTTATGTATTTTGTCGAACATATAGTCCATTATTACTGATTCACGTAATATACCTAAATATAGGTATTAGAGGCGATGGGCACCGAAAACAGATATTCGGACATGATAAAGAGGAACGGGCAAAAAAGAGCATTATATTATTATTGAAATTTAAATGAAAAATAACTTAACGCTGAAAAATAGTTTCGACGCATGGCGACGTTGTTGCGTTGTTACGATGCTTAGGATAAATAGGACATTGATTTGAGAATTATTGGTAATAATAGTTCATTCTACTTGTGAAATGAGACAAAAACAGAAACTTTCAGTTAACAACTATTTGTTTGGGTTGTTATACACAGATCAACCATAAAGACATTAAATTTGCCGTTGTGCCTGATACGCCACTAGAAACGTTTATTCAGTTTAATAATAAAAACAAGACTTCGTTAATTTTGTTTTAACTGTGCAGTGCAGTAATGAAGAATAGGTAGTGAAAGCCTACGGAATCCGGTCATGGATTTGTTCATCTTTTATGTTTGGCTCATGACTGATCTGTCTCTACGCGCCAAATTTGAAATTATCATTGACGTCAATATCTATACAGATCGTGTTTTCTTACTCTTCATAAAATGATGATTTGAAAGCACAGTCTACCCGGCTTAAAATAAGTGACAAGTTTGTGAGTTTTTTCAGCAAAATGAACATAGAATAAAGCAGTTGGTAGAAATAGTCAAAAACATTGCCGAGACACCAGTGTAGACATATTGCATGTTTTATCACAGATTAATTATGAGGTTCTAAGGTTACGAACGGTGTTCTCAAATAATCAGGAATTCGAGGGCTGTGCTTATATCCGCATAACCTGGGATATTAAAATCTTATCTTGTCATTTACTAGGAAAAAAAATTTTAATATTATGTTTACTTTGCTACTTTAGCTTCCCATTTAGATCGAAATAAATTAATCTAGTGAACATGGTTTCGGCGCTGACCGCCATTTTACTTCTAGGTAAGTAGAGCAATCAAATAAAATTACTTCTTTTAATCATGCAATAAACCAACAAATGACTTGGCCAGAAAATTTTTCTACGCTTGTTCCATTTCTAATTAAAAAGTCAGCGTATATCACACATCGCTTTCATAGATAGGTGTGATGTAATTTTTAAGATAATTTCATAAAAAAACAGGCCATTGAAATTTCCACATCATATCATTTTTAATTTACTCTACCCAAAAGCATGTCGTCAAATCCTACTTATCTACGGGGATGATATTTCACAGTAGTTCCAGTGTTCCGGTAACAAAGATTTAATCTTTGTAATTTTCTGCTTCTAGGAACCGTGGCTGGAGGTAAAGTACAGTGTGATGGAAAGGAGATGAACATAACATCAGGAAACGGCAAAATAAGTTCTCCGAATTACCCCAAAGAATATGGAAGATCAGCAAACTGTTCATGGAAATTCACTCCTCCGGAAGGTTACGTTCTCGTGTTGACAATCACGTATCAGAGGCTTTATATTATTGAAACAACAAGCAGGCTATGCTTGGGATCTTACAGGCTTACTATAAATAACGGTATGGGTATAAAAATTTATTGTTTTTATTCAACTGATCTTGAACTGTCAATTAGTAAGGGGCTTTAAGATATTCAACAATAAAATGTTGAATTACACAATCCCATTGTGCAATCTTTACTATCACATCAAGGAGAAGATTGATATCCTGATTTATAGCGTTCCATGCCAGACGTTATAGAAAACTAGTCCGTTAATCGACTTGGAAGCAATCATGAGAAACAATGACTATGCCTGCCTAAATACTACTTTATTCAGATATACAAGAATATACGAGATACGTTGATGCAGCATATCCAGGTTCATTGATTAAACCTTTTGAATATTTCGACACTATGTGTGGTGGAAACAAAGAGGTGAAACCAAGCGTTGATGTTCAGTATATATCGAACGGACGAACCTATACTGGCTCGGAGACAGTGTTCACCACATCAATGGGTTTCAGAATCCAGTACAAGTCTTTACAATGCTCCGTAACTACAGGTAAACATTCTAAATATTGTTTATTTATGAAATATATACTTTTTTTTGAACATAGCAGAGGAAAAATGCACACTTATGATGTTTTTATACTCGAAATAATGGTTAAATCCAAATCACCTCGAGATATTTTTTACTGATTTTGGTTCTCAAAAAGTTATGAGCAGTGCTAGATGTCACATGATAGAAATAACCCTAAATTAAGATTTCTGTAAAATCATTTACGATTGGGAACAATGTGTAAAGGAAGGTAGAGTAGCATTATTTATTTTCATTGTAGCAATCACCTACCCGGATACAACTAATGCACCGTCTACTACAAATATCCGGTTTATCCAATTACTTACGCAGCAACCACGGGTGAAACCTTACGCAATACTGCAAAGTGGGATGCGGGCAATCATACAAGCGATGAGACAACCGGGATCGAAATCGGGCATGAATTAATTAATCACAACGTCTGACAAGTCCACATTGAAAACTGTCATGAGTAAATGTTCGAGTTTTATCATTTCATCATTGATTCGTAAGATAAGAAGGCCAGTACATGTATATAATTTATGCATTAAAAGCAATTAAATTATCATGCATATACCGTACCTAGCGGAACTTGGATATTGTGTATTGAACTGCAGGTCCTTTCTCCTTGATTACTTTCTACTTCGGATCCGTATGTGGCACTCACCACAAGGATGCCTAAACGAGATAGTATTAAAGTGAAAAGTAAAAATAACATGATCTCTTTCAACGAAATAGTAAGTATATTTGTGAGCTTTCGTTAGATCATGGTCTAACTTCTTCAAACAATACAAGATATAATTTAATCAAAATAGCAATAATAATCAGCAATAATAAAACAGCAATAATAATCATTATTGCTGTTTTGATTAAGTTATATCTTGTATTGTTTAAAAAAGGTTAAACCATGATCTAACGATTCGGAGTAGTGTGACCAATATGTCAAGCCAGACCGAAAGTCAGTAGGTTTTTAATCTGTGATATTTATTGATTGATTAAACATGAATTTTTGCAACCAATGTGAATGTTATCTCACAACTCTCACTTACGAGACTTTGTATGTGTAATATGATAATAAATACTTATTATTTAAACTTGAAGGATTAATCATTTGGCGGCGTCTGGTTTTGAGACAACACTCAAAGGATATGTATACGCTATGGCGCAGCTTCGCATCTTTTTAAATTTGACGTTTTTACACGCTTTTCACTCCTAACAAGGCCGGGCGCCCCAGAAGTGTGTGTACTACTCGCCTACTTTACATCAAGTCGTGTAAAGTGACTGATACCTATGGGCAGGGGGTATATTCATTGGCTGACACAAACAGTCTCCAAGCTCGGTATAGAACTGTAATAAGTAAAATCGGAAAAAAATTATGGCCTAACCTGGTTCATATACTACGGGAGTACCCGACGTCATGCATGAGTAGACATTGACATATGAGATATTTTGAAGGACCGGGAGCGTAGCAGTCGGCCTTGTTTAATTCATTGTACCCTGAGCGAGGTGACAAGCATGGATTACAATGGTTCTTACAAAACCGTTTGTGGGACACGGTCTCCGTCCCTACGATTTATACGAGCTTAAACACATATCCGGCCTTGTATAACCAAACAAGAGGCCGTGGGTCGCGATATCAATACGTTGGATTTGATTCGGCTGTGCTCTCAAGAGATATAAATGAATTTTTATTCCATTTTAAACATGGAAACATCTGAAGTACGTCTGATAAGCGTTTGCTGAGTTATCGAAAGCATAAGCAAAGACATGATTAAGTTGCGTTAATGAGAATTTGTTGCGTAATATGACACGAAGGTGAAATGAAGATCAAAAACATGGATTGGGGGAATATATATATGGGTTGTATATAAATAGGCCTACCTGTTTTTTGTACGACTTGTCCTATCTTAATCAGTCAGACTTCCTTCAAGCTAGA